GCAGCTTTACTCACCCTGTTGTACCAGATGCCGAGCTGGGACGGGGACAACACGGCGAACAAAGTCCTCTGCGGGTCGGCCTGAATGCCGAGCAGGGGCTCCTGAGCCTCTATAGGGCAGAGCAGCCTCTTGGGCCAGCCGCTGAGGAAATACATGGCTGGAGAGGAACCCAGCGTCCTGGCCAGGCGCCGTCCTAGCAGGCAGCAACGGTGGCCGGAGCCAGACGGGTTTTCAGCATCTGTCTCGGCCGGCCGGGAGGCTCTCGGCGTTCCCGAGAGGTACCAGCATAACAGCGAAGGGATGGAAGCTCCTCTCGGCGGCCGGCGTCGCCCCTCGCAAGGCTGAGAGGGGCTCGGAAGAGGGAGGGAGTGGGAGCTGCCTTTCTGGCGGGTTGAAGCTACGGGACCGGGGGGGGAGGGAGGGGGGGCGTCCTAAGGGGAAAGAACGGTTACAGCTCGAGACGGCGCCCTCGCGACGTCGCCTTCACCTTGCGGGTGCCTAGCGCTCCTCTCGCCGCGGCTTCCTTTGCCTTGGCCGCCGCCGCCGCCGCCATCTCTTTTCTTTCTGCTACGTCGGCGTCTGGCGGTGGAAAGAAAGGGGGGGGCGGGGGCGAAGAAGGAGAAAGAGCGAGCGAGAGACGCATACGACCCGAAGGAGGGAGCTGAGCCCTGTTTTGCCTCAGGACGGCAACTCGGTACTGGTTGGGAAAAGGGGGCGGGGACTTCGGGGTAGAGGACGCCGTGATTGGCCTAGGGCCCCGTAGGAAAAACCGGAGGTGACGTTTTAGATCTGCGGAAGAACCACCGAGAAAGGCTAGAACGGAGGAAAGGAAACCCCCCCCCCCGCCTTCCCTCACATTTCCTGTGCAGTGGAGGACTTCTCCATTTTGCGGGTGGATGCCGAATTCCAAAGCGGTTGGTGAGATCGCGGGGAGGGGGGGGGGGAAGGCAGCGGGTCACGGTTTTGCTTTTGGCTTTCCCGGGATGCAGACTCGGCTTCCCTTTCTCCACGCTGATGGCCAAGGAATTAGGCAGACGCGCACAGGTGTTCTAATCGGCAAAAGATCGTTTTGAAGGGGTCAGTCCAAACGTACATGCACTGTATTTCATCAGGGCTTCCCCGTCGGATTTTATATTTCCTAGGTTATCGTTTTTATCTCTTGTGTTTTTATGGGATGTGAATGTGCCATGCGATAAATAAATAATCCCTACCACCAAGGCAGGTGCGTCTTGTAATTTAAGGTCCACTCCTTATCTCTCCGCGATCAACACATCTTGTGATCAGTTTCATTAACTCTAGTTTAAAAGTTCTTTTTGAAATTGAAACAAGATGAACCTGCGCCTAAGGCAGAGTTCAGTTACAGAGTTTCTGCTGCTTGCGGTAAAGGTATTTGAGTCTTTTACTAATAGAGGCACTCAAATGCAAAGGCTTCTTTCATACGACAAAGCCATCTGGCATTATAATTTGATGAAGTGGGGGCTTGATTCGTCTATGAAACTGTGTAAGAATATATGCTTCTGTTAGTTCAAGCAGAAAAGAAACCCTCAGCTTTTTTCCCCCCCTGTGAAAGACCTTAGAAACAACAAAACTGAATAAAATGTGTGTGTGAGTGAGAGCGAAAATGATCTGGAGACTACTGTTAGGACATATTTACATCAGAATTGTTTGAAGTGCAAATATTTACCAAAGAAACATTCCAATATATGACATGTGTTTAATTTATTATAAGATAAGCAAAATAAATATATATAAAGAAGATTGGTTTAAAAAACAGGGCATACAATTACTGATGCAAAAATCGGTGCTATGGAAACAGAGAATCCCAAAAGTTGTGAATGTTAGAGTTGCAAAAAATTCACTATAACCATGCATTGATTTTACCAGTGTAAATCGGAAATGCTGTATTTGCAAATAGTCGATTTGTATCTGCACTGAAAGACTTATTCAAATCTGAACTTACCATTCTAAATAGAAAACTAGGTTTCAATCCTGTAGTTCTGATTTCATGATTAAATATAAAATTCAAAATACACTATTATGATTGCACTTGTTGGTACAGTAAGCATAAAACTATGCTTGAAATAGTTTGAGTGAACATATTGTCTCTTGGGAAGTAACAACCATCTGTATTTCAGATTTTTTTTTCAAGCAGAAATATCAATCGATATTTAATATTTTATTAGAAGCCTTTGCTTAAAGATCATACTGTTGCACAGTATTAATAAAGAACTTTTAACAATTAATTTTTTTTCAAGGGAGCTTTATGATTTTCTGCTCTAGCCATCATGCAGGACGCATGACTTTCTTTACATATTTTATTGCTGTCCATAGAAATTTTCAAGTTAATTAAACTTTCTTCAAAAGCAGCTCAAAACACAATAGATTGCATTAGTGCAGCTTTTCCTGTGTAGTTGCCTTCTAGATATGCTTAGCTACATTTTTCCAAACCCCATCTTCAGGAAACAATTGAGTAGGTTTTATCAATGTTTTGTTTGTTTTTTTTCCCCTTCCATCAAGTGTATTTTAATTCTTGGTGACTAACTGGACAAATCCATGCCATTTTCTTGTTAAAAAAAAATAATTGAAGTGGTTTGCCTTTTCCTAGGGTTGAGAGAATGACTAGCCCAAAGACATCCAGTTGGCTTTCATGCCTAAGGCAAGAATAAAATTCAGTCCAGGCTGCTGGCCCAGTGTCTTAACTACTAGAACAAAAGTAGAGCAGAGTGCCTCTTATCTGAGCATGCTATGGATGATGAAATAAAAGATAATTGATAATTTTTAATAAGCAGGATCACATTTCTTCTGAGATTTTCCAATTGTTTGTATTAATAAGATGTAGAACCTCTATGGCAAACACAGAGTATTTGCCTTCATTCGTAACACAGAATATGTTCTGCAATATATAAGCACCAAATGTGATCACAAAAAAGTTTGTAAGCACAGTATGCATATTAAACTTGCAATTAGAAATAACAGCTCATGCCAGCTGGAGATAATTCACTGTAGTTATAGTATACGGCCAGTTTCTTTTTGGAATGTACTCTGAATTGGCATTTGCTTATTTTCTCCCATGGGCATGCATTTTTATTGCAAAGTCAAAATAGCACATACTTATTTTAATAGCTGTTGAAAATCATTTGTTTTTCCCCTTTACATTCTTGATATTACATTTCTATATAGATCAGTAAAAATACTTTTAAATAATATTTTCTAAAGAGTAGCAATATTTGTAACGCTAAGAACATTATATATTTTGTTGACAGCCATTTCCATTTTTCTTGTGCAAAAATAGACAATGCTTTCCTTATTTTTTATATGACATAAAGTTCCATTGCTTTTAGTATCTTTAGAAATGTGAACACCTGCCACAAATAAATGTAATCAAGAAAAGTACCAGAAGTAGTAGCTTTATTTATTACTGTAATTATTTGTTAATCTCAAGCTAAATGCGTGACTTTCTTCCTCTAGATCACGCATGTCAAACTGTCGGCCCACGGGCCAGATGCGTCACACCAAAACCGCACCCAACCCATTGCCGGCAATGGGGGAAAAGTCACAATACATCGCGCAACGTCACATGACGTCGCGAGTTTGACATGCCTGTTCTAGATGCCCCTTTACTATTGCTATATGCAATACATGGCTTTACTTCCTATAACCCTCAAAACACAATACACAAAAATATATACAAACAATAAAAATTCAGCAGCAGCTATCAAAGACTTAAAGATAACATTTTATTTTTTTAATTATACAGTAGAGGAGTTAAAGCTGTATCCCCACTTTAGTCCCTAAAATAGTTCCTTATTTTTAGCTGTATTTGATCAAAACCATCTTGGATATTCCTGTTGAGCGTCATGCTTCAAGACATAAAATGGAAATATTCAAGGTATTGTAATGATAATGCTGTGTCTTTACTGAATGTACATTGGATGTGTTAATAAAAACAGCTGGTGACCAATAAGACAAAATTTCACTGAATAATGCTCTTTATTTCCATATTAAAATTCAGTGTTCATCATTTAAAAAAAAAAGATATGATGTGTAATCTGAATACAATAGAAAACACAAGGGGGAGCTGTACCACATCTTATATTGGAAACTAAACTTTAGTTCAAAACAAAAACATTACAGCTGTCTCAACTATGTTTACTTATTTTCTTTCAAAGATTCTGGATCAAAGAGTGGAAAAGCCAGTAATGCAAGTAGTATATTTTCTTTGAATAGCATAACCCTTCTTAATCAGAGTTACTTGCGGCCACCACAAGCTCTGTCCCTTTCTTGTCTTTGTGTCATGTCATGCATACAAAAATTGCAGAGCAGTGCTGCTTTCTTTCTAACCCACCTTCTGCCCTGCAGGCACTTTTGTTGTTAATTATAAAACCATTTGATGGAGTGATAAATCATTTAGGGACCAATTTAAGTCAGTAAAGGGCTCCATGGGGAATAATACCTTGAAACTAAATGCAGGCAAGATGATCATATTCCTTGTGAGGGGCTTTAATTCCAGCAAGGTAACAATATCAGCCTGAGTGGGATTACCTTTTACAGAAAGAGCAAGTACTGAGTTTTGGGAGTGCTTTGGGATCCAAATCTCTCTTTCTGTAAAAGGTAATCCCACTCAGGCTGATATTGTTACCTTGCTGGGAGTACCTTGCTAGGAGTACCTTTTACTGGCTTTCGTTGTCCAATGTATCCAATTCTGGAAGATAATGTAAGTAAAACTGATGTACCTGCTGCAAACCCCAGGATCCCTTCCAGCAATGCTTGCTACATGGGGTTGCTTTTGTTTCTTTACTAGAAGCTTCAGTTAGAACTGATAGAAGAGAATATTTGTACTGTAGGATCATGGTTGAAACGAGGGATTGTTGGTCTCTGAGCTTGGTTATTTTCTTGTAGACATTTCATTATTAAACTAGGTAACATCAGTGCTAGAAGGGAAAGAGTAGATAAATAAAGAACAAGCCCTACTCCCTTCTAGCGCTGATGATGTTACCTAGTTTAGTAATGAAATGTCTACAAGAAAATAACCAAGCTCAGAGACCACCAAGGACCCCCCCCCCCAATTCAGTTAGTATAAACCTCGGCAGCTGGGTTACTTTTGAGAAGAATAAAAGTGCCTTATTACCTCTTTGTTTAAAACGCTGGCTGACTG